TGCAACTTCTCGCCGTATTGGGGAAGAGGCTCCTGATGCAACCCTGGATTGCTTCATAGCCAAGCTGGAACTACTTGTTCAAGAAGGTAACCCAATTCATCTGAACAATGTGGGATTTTGGTTGTCTTTTGACGAGTTAAGATAGGGTATTTTGGGGACTTGGTTCTTCTGATTGGGGCAATGGAATGGTGAGTTTGGGATCTTTTTTTAAAGTTCAAGTCCTCTTCTATAAGCTGGAGTGTTTGGAAGCTCGAGGTAGCACGTGGAAGCTCAATTTCCAGGCTCGACAAAAGGCTATCAACACACAGGAAAACTGCCAAATTCTGGCTAAGTATGAAACATGTTCGCCAGAACAACTTTGGGCGACGATTTTGGGAAGATGGTTGCGAGTTGGGATCAGTGGTTTCCTCCACATCAAACTATAATTTTCAGGCTACAACGACGAGGGATTGGTTGAGTGATTTGGTTCTTAGAAGCACTCGAACGAAGCGTCCAAAGATCGTGTCGAGGCCACTGTTTCTGACTTTGGAAATTAGCAACCCTTGTGGGATTGGAATTCACAGCTTGTTTACGTTTGGTTTCCTTTCCATGTACGGTTGTGTTCTTTTGGGGTTTAAGTCAAGTTGTAATAGGTTTAGGATTCCCTTCCTTGTTCAGTACTCTAGCTAGGTTCTATTTAAGGTTAAGAATTGCGTTGTAATTGGATGAAGTTTTAATCAAATAACACGTTTGTTCATTGAGTTTCATCTCGTGAATTGTCCTTGTTTGCGTGGATTGAATTCCATCAATCAAGCGAGCTCGTATCAATTGAGTACGCACCTCAATTGTGGCCGAGTTGCTACCACAAACTCGATCGAGCCTCTTCCCCCATACGGCGAGAAGTTGCACGGTCGATCCATCTCTTTTATCCTGTTTTGTGATCAAGGATCATCCCAGTTCTTATTTTGAAGAAGCTAGCGTCTTAATCCGAGGTTTGGGACGTATCAATTTTTGTTCTAATGCACTCAACAAAAACATCATTGGAACTGCATTATCCATAGTCATGCAAAACAAACTCTTCATTTTCCATTCTTGTAGACACTTCTCCGAAGTATCTGCAATATCCTTCCCCGTGTGACTAGGAATGGGAACTAATCAAATAATCCTCTCCTGCAACTTCCAATCATCTCCAATAAAATGTGCAGTCACACACATAAAATTCCGGTTGTTATCAATGGTCCATGTATCTATAGTGATAGATATTCTTCCTTTGAACTTTGAGTTAAAAAAAACTCAATCAATGTCTTTTTCTTCTCCAGAAAATGGCATATCAATAAGATCTTATTGTTTGCCTTCCAGGTAACACAAACAAAGGCTAAGTTATTGCCATAATCTCCTAAACCCCTCCCGCTCAACAAATCTAAATGAAAGCTCATCCAAGATTATCATCAGAGCTAATGCATGTCTAGATTTGTTCTGATCAAAATTCCATGGAGTAAGAGAGCCTACCTGTAACACCCTACCCTATACGTTTTGCCTAATCATATTGTTCATACAATTGCAGCGGAAATAATCTCGGGTGTTACATTAATTATCAAAATTTACCTAAATAAAAATTCGACATGAATTACTCGCGTAATGGGCTAACAGTTCTTGCAACTTATCCTGCAAGATAATTCATCACAAACATATATACTCACAACCATAAGCATTGGCTTTCATAGCCATAGTCACAGTTTCATACTACACAACTGCATACTATACTGATACAAGCCATAATCGTCACAACTTACATAATTACAAAAATATACACATATCATCAACTTTCCACACCTGTGGATATCTCACACTACATCAGAAGCTAGTATGCACATGAAAAACGTTCTCAAAACATTTTTACAAAAAGGTGTGGATCACTGGCCAAAATCCCGAGTAGTAGTCCAAGCACAGAGTAGTTGAAGACCATACCTCATCTTGCCTTCAACTCTTGCTCAGCTCTCACCTATACACCTATCTACTGCTAGGGGTGGCTATACGGTCCGGTCTGGTTAAATTGGCCCAAATTGATCCGGTCCAGTCCGGTCTTTTTGAAAATATAAGGACCGAAGATTGGATTGGATACAGTCCGGTCTTGATCCGGTCCGATTCCAATTCGGTCTTGATTTTACATTGAGATTGTGGGATTTGAGTGGCCTAATGCCTTAAAGGGTGAGGAGTTGGTTAAGTTTTGTACTAAGTGCAAAGGTTTGTGACCGTTTATGCAAATTACCCTTAAGTTTTGGGTGTTGAGCTCTCTTTTCCGGTCTTTATCCGGTTTTTTACCTCAAATCTAAGCCCAAAGATTGGATTGGATTGTTTACTATCCGGTCCCGGTCCGATCTCGGTCCGGGTTATACGGTCCGGTTTCCGGTTTTTAATCCGGTCCCGGTCAAAATAGCCACCCCTATCTACTGCTGTTGCTGATGATCTGCTTACACATAGCATAAGCAGAGAAGAAGAATAAAAGAGGGTCAGCTCATGGCTGAGTGAGACAATCATTGCATCGTAAGTTCATAACAGAGCATACCCCTACCATACATCTAGCAAACAAGCCAAAACACTAGGATCAGATCTCAGCCCTCCGACATCCCAATAGCCAAAAGAGTCAACCACCTTGACTTATGCATATGCATCTCATCATGTTTTACTTATAGGCGCCTGGCTACTCCCATGCTAATAACTCTCCCGGGAAACATACCCCACATCCCGTCGGATGTAGTCATACATACCCCAACATCCCGTCGGATGTGGTCATACATACCCCACACCACTATGGGTGTAGTCATACCCCGACACCGCTCTGGGTGTGGTCATATCTCATAAGAATTATTCAGTCACCACCACATGAGAGATGTGACTATCATACATATCATAATAGAGTAATAGCATAAGGAGCCCTAATTACTATGTACTTGACCGTGAGACCACAACACTCATACTTGGTATCCTTATACATGATTCATATCTCATCTTGCTTAATCATAATTCATTACTTGCACATGTACTTGACCTGGCCACAATTGACTCAAAATAGGTAAATCAGGAGTCGTATAATTGCACTTCCTTGGGATAAACCCTCGTACCAGTCATCCTCCTTAAACGTCATAATATCACTAGGGAATATATATTTTCCCACTTGTGCATCCAAATACAACAATCATGAAAAATCATACCTAATCACCTTCTCGAACCATCGTAAGGCATATTAACAGTCAAGCCCACAATTTGCAACATATACGAAATCATCAGCATAAACAAGGTCCATCTCGATTAGGGCAAGTCAATAATATCATACAGTAGTCCATGGTTCATCATATAGCACAAAAGTTCATACACTCTTAATCATGCCATTCTAGTTCACCTAGATCAATTCTAAGCATCAATATAATTATCGTGATACGACAAACCCGGTATGCCGTGCTAATCCCTCACCAGCTCTGGTCGTTCAAACACCAGTTTAAGCTTCCCCGTACTAAAACGTCAATTTCACGAACGAACCCCGAATTAAAATCCGAGACCGTCCTAATACCCCCTGCAGTATCCCCGTCAATAATAGTTCTAGGCTCCGGGTCAAATTCTTGATAAAAACACATCAAGCCCTGCCCGGAGCTAAATTCAGCGATCCCAGCTCCTACCTAAATAATAGCCGAAATTCAGGGATTAGAACTAGAGGATTGATTACCTCGCTGCAGAAAGCTCGTATATAAAATCTGAGCTTAATCCGGCTTCCGGATTCTCTGGTACCCTAATTTCTACGATGGTAAACGTAGAAATTTCTTGCTCCCAAAACCACTACAAGCACCGTGATTGATGGACGATATTATGCGGAAGGTTTGCATACCATTTCTCTCGTATTTTTGACAACCCTACTCAAAGGGTTAACCTCGCAAACGTTTCCTGGACCTTCCTTGCTTCTGCGTTCTATTAGCTCTCGGTTTGAAAATGATAGAGATGAGACTAATGGTGGATGTGGATCATTTATACAGAAGCTCCCCACCGCTTTGTTTCCCCTTTCTTTAATAATAGCATTTTAAATTTCATTATCCCCTTCCCTCTACAGCAAACACGTTGTAAATAATGTGTGCAGAGAGATATATATAATGATTGATATATATCTTTATAAATTGATATAATAACATATACTTATCCGATTGCGATATTTTGATTTTCGTTGAAATGCTATCAAAACACCCGATTTAAATAGCGTAATTTTTAGAAATTGAAATACGGGTTTAGCCGAAATGGGATGTTACACTACCTCACCATCCCCACTTCCAGGTTGATAGTTTAATACCGACTGACCACTAGCTTCCTTCGACCTCCTCTCGCACATTAGGTGATGGCTTTTCAAACCACTAGTCCCATTGAAGGTTGAATGAGCTTTGATCAGCGTTCTACATCGTTTCCATTTGCCGTATGGGTAGTCATCCACAATCTCACGAGTGTAAGGGATCCACCACTTAGAAGTTGTCTGCTTCCTCTTCGCCTTGCCAATTTTCTTTTGCACACTAGGTACCTCAGCGGCAACACAAGTAGTAGAGGCCGAATTTACTGCAGATGGAGGATGATTTGCCTCAGGATGTAGATTTGTTGCAGGTGGAGGAGGTGGATTTTCAGTAGTGGAAGGTGTACTAGCCGAAGCCTTCCCTTTTTTTGATGAGCTTTGACCTTGTTTTGAAGAGCTTCGAGGAGGTAGAGAACTAGCTTTCTTACTACCTCCTCCACGACTTCCAGAAGGTTTCGTCAAAACAACAAAATGAACACATAAATTTGCTAAACAACCATTCAGCAATTACTCAATAGTCAATTCAATTCAATCAACCTAAATTCACTGACAATTTATCATCAATTACTCAATAGTTAATTCTCGTTAATTCAATACAAACAACCAAGCAACACAACCTCAATAGACAATTAAATTAAATCAACACATAAATTTCCATCTCAATTCTCAATAGCCAATTCAATTAACATCCATATTATTATTTTGAAATCAGCTTTGGCGCTTTGCTAATTGCTATTGTTGTTGCTGCCTCGGCAGCCTGCTCTCCAAGAATTGGAGTTTGGCCTCCTTTGTTCTTCAAAACCGACCTCTGCCCCTTGCCCCTGCTCAACAAAACAATAAACTGAACAAAGGCAAGGGTCAGTAACGGTCTCACGGAGGGAAGGGAAGGATCAAGGGAAGGCGGCATCGCGGGATCTGCTGGGTGCGGAGAAGTAGAAGAATGGAGAGGGAACGGTGGAGGTGGCAGGGGGTAGGGAGAGGCTAAAAAGGCACAGGAGGGGAGGAGGTGGCGGGGAAGGTGGCAATACCGAAGGAGGAGGACTGGGCACTGGGGGCAGGAGAAGGCGAGAAGCTTTCGACAAGCTGTTGGTTCCGACAGGACTAGCGGCGGCGAGGGAAGGAGGAAGCCTAAAGGGGGATTGGCGACGTCAAAGTCGTAGAGCAGAGCGACGACCGACGGACAGGGGAAGCGTGCGACGGACAGGGAAGGAGGAAGTAGATGCCGAGCCATGGAGGGAAGGACGAGTCGTCGTCGCTCGTCGCCGTCTCTGACGATCTCTGTTCTTTGGGCTGGGTTTCGATTTTGGGGACTTCCTGGTCGTCGGTCGAGACACGAGAAGCGGAGAGGAGAAGAGAGGACGAAGATCATGGGTGTTGGCCAAAACGCAGCGTAGAGGTCTCCCGGTATCGATATTACCGACTAACCGTCGGTATTTACCGTAATTGGGGCCGGTATACCGAACATACCCATTTCGCATTCGACTACCGATTAGCGGCTTAGCGTTTGTCATTCCTATATTTTTTATAGTCAAATATTCAATCTACCATTTTTTTGTAAATACAAAATTATATCATGAATGATTTAAAAAGCTAACAAAATTATTTTATTGTATAAATTTTCTCTAAACAGAACCACCCTCACAAAATCCTGGATACTCTCCTGACCTGGGCTACCCTTGGGTCACATTGGCCATCCCCCAGATCAACCACATCTGTTCACCTTGATCATCCTAGGGTCACTCTGGCCACCCCTGGGGTTAGTCATCTTAGGTCAATCAACACCCTTGCCCATGTACCCCATGACGTGTCCTCTCCTTACCACAAAGCTCCAGAGGGAGACACATTCTCCTTCATGTTCGCCTGGAGGCCTCTATAAAAGACAAATTCTTTTCCAGGTTGAGGTAAACAAAAATCTCCATGCCTAGACTCGTGAACTCTCGCTATTATTAGCGAAAATATTAATTCTCAACTTCATTCCTCCATGTTTCTTTCCGATATCATATTCATCTCCCCTCAAACCACTCACTAACTTAAATGTCGGAGAGTGTTCCCGCCAAGATCGGCCGACATACCCTTTTTGCAGAAGATAATCGGAGCTGACATCATGAGAGTAGTTCGAGGTGAAATGAGGTCGTTGACCGACTGTAATGTCCAGTATAAAAAATCTCAATGTCGGCTACAACCCCCACATCAATGGTAACTCCACATATTACTAATTAATATTTATTTATAATTGTGTTCTTACTTCATAAAAAAGTATCATATCTCAATCGTGAAAAATAACGAAAATTGCAGCGAAGAAAATGACTCTGGATAGGGTGCATAACCTTAGGGTGCTTAACATGAGTAACCAAATCTGGACCCTTTCTTTTAAGTGAGCTGCAGATCTAAGGGCTGTGAATAAAAGACATTTTATTTTCCCTAATTTCTTAATCAGATCATATCTTCTTCATTCTAACTATTATTTTTTTTTTGCATAGATGGAATGAGTTCGTTGTGCTCTACAAAATGAGATCCATTTTCAATGTTTTTTTAGAAATTTTTTTCATACCTCTCGTTATCAACTCCATACATATGGTATTTTCTTCATTTTTAAGTCCTTTTCGAAGATTTTTGCACAAAAGGAATGATTTAATCATGATCTATTGGATCACAAAATTTATGGGTGGAAAAAATTCATACCTCTCGATACCTCCATACCATACTATACCACACTGGTATGGGGTGGTATCTTTCATACCATATGATATGCTCTTATTTAATACAAGTCATACCATATGATATAGACTGGTAAAAAAATGCTCAATTTTTAATTCCAAAAATATATATCAAAGTGGATATTATTTTGAAGAGCACAATTAATCTGATCTAGCTGTGCAAATAAATTTAACTTCTGGCTTAAAACAAGTAAAAAATCGTCCTTTAAGGATTAATGAGAAAAAAATTAAAGGCTCTTCAAGAGAAAAGGGACGCTAATGTGACAGATTGAGATTGAGTTATGAATGGTTATGCACCACAAGGTTATGCATGTAATCCGTTGATGAAGAAAATTGTTTGTTGTATAAAACTGAGAGTAGTACTTTCTACTTCGCGATTCCTTTTGTTGACCCCTACCTCGCAGAACTTCTTGCAGCTCGAGACGCTATCTCCCTCTTAGTCTCCAAGTCCCTTCCTCTTGTCATCATCGAATGTGATTTAGAAGTGGTGATTCGTCAGCTTCGCTAGGGCATTTCTTCAGATTCCCTCGGAGGTCCGGTGCTACGTGATTGCTTCCAGTTCCTGTCTTCAGTTTCTGTTTCCTTAGATTTTAGGGCAGTTCTTAAAACTGCTAACGGGGCTGCCCATAGAGTGGCGCTGAAAGCTCTGTTACTTTCTCCTCTTGAAATTGGTTCCTTCGACTTTGTGGGGTGGCTTGTCTAATATATTGGTTTGGGAGGGTTTTGGGTAGATTGTAAGGTTTTTCTCTCTTGACATTTCTTGGAAGAAAAAAAAAAAAACAGTGATTCAGCGGACAAAGTACCAGTAGTTGGATGCCAAATGCTACTTATGCCGATAAACCAAATCACTTTTGCCAGTTATTGGTTGCAGCTAACTAGTAAGCCCAATAATTTCGACTCTGGTTTTGCACAAAAAACGCTTACGGTTATCAATTAACCGGTCCAGTCAAACCAAAATAGACCCGGTTAAACCCATTCATTGGCATTATTTGAAAAATAGTTAATACTAGCTAGGCAGCAAGCAACACCATATTTTAGCATTTCATTTCTAAGCTCAATCAGTGACATGCATGAATAAATTCGCGCCTCCATCTTTCTCATGTGAACTGAAAACTTGACACAAATATTACTTTGCTGCGTAGAACCACGCAGAACTGTAAAATGTCTACTCAATCTAGTGCCAACTAAGCTTTTGCAATGTCTGAATAGAAAGCAGAATCCGACACTCAAAGCCATGCGCCTTACATAATGTGATTAGAGGAATGTTTAAACAACCCCTCTCAAATACATTCGGGCTGATCACCAAGCTTTAACAACAAATCAAGCAACCAGAATGAGTATCCTTCTTTCATCAGTATAAGCACAAATCCTTTTCACATCTTATATAGATGGCTCGCTCTTGTCCTCTTGGGCGCCAATCTCTTGCAGGAAATGCTCTGCTTCCAATGCTGCCATGCACCCTGCAAAGCCACAAACGTACGTAGGACTCCAAGTTAAGCTGGCATATTTGTTTACGAAAGAAACGAAGCATGGGCGAGGGCAACAATTGTTCTTCGACATGCAAATAACCGTCTTATGAGTGATTGACCCGAGCATAGAACAAAGAAGGCAGGCTACTTTCCACAAGGTAGAACCCAAAATCAAGGTGGCCTTTCAACTAAGCTTGCATTTACAATCCTAAAATCGTCCAAGAGCAGCATGATGAGAACTAGATTACACATCATTGTAGCAAAAGGCCTTAACTAGCTAGATGCTTGGAAGCTGGAATGCAGTATATAAACATTTGCATACAAGGTAAGTTTTTCGCAACAGTTTCCAGTCCTTATGACATCAATCTGTAACTGCAAAATGCTTAATAAACCATGAATATTAGAAGAAAGTCGAGACTGAACTAACCTGCTACTCTGAACATGTGCAACAAACAGTATTCGGTTACATGCTTCGAATTAGACTCGCTATCTTTCTTTAATCATCTACTTTATCTAAACTATAGCTTGGTACCTCTATATCAAAGAGAACATATGTAAAAACTACTTATAGCGGCTTCAAGAATTAGAAGATAAAGTGTACTGCAAACTACTTTACTCACCTGTACCTAGAGTAAAGATCTAGCTTACTTTTCATCCTACTACAATTTGACGCCAAAGAAACAACAGAAACAACTAGGAACTGTAAAGAACAATACCATATATGGAAATTAATGTGTCAAGTGCAAGCATGGCAAAGTAAGAGAACTGCATGGCACAGTTTTAGTCTGATCATGACTCGAGATAGAGCTAGAACTGCAAATGAACAAAGATGACAAAGCAAGAGAACGAACCAGTGCCAGCTGCTGTTATAGCCTGTCTATATTTCTTGTCCTGAACATCACCAGCAGCAAAAACCCCACGAACGCTAGTCTGCGTAGTTCCAGGCTTGGTCAAAACGTAGCCATCAGAGTCGAGTTCCAGCTGCCCATCCAAGAACTTGGTAGCTGGTTCATGACCAATGGCGAAGAACAACCCAGAAACCTTCAAATCGGAGACTCCATCTGTCACCATGTTCCTCACCTTCAACCCAGTAAGCGACCTCTCTCCATAAGCCTCCTCCGTCACCGAATTCCACAGCACCTCAATCTTAGGGTTCGTCAGAGCCCTGTTCTGCATAATCTTGGATGCCCTGAAAGTATCCCTCCTGTGAATGATGTAAACTTTGCTCCCGTACTTGGTCAAGAAATTCGCCTCTTCCATCGCCGAATCCCCACCTCCGATCACGGCCAGCGGCTTGTTCCGGAAAATGGGGGCGGCGCCGTCGCACACCGCGCACGCGGAGATTCCCCGGTTCCAGAAAGTGTCCGACCCGGAGAAATGGAGGCGCTTGGCTACCGCCCCCGTGGCAACCACGACGGTATCGGCGACGACGGTCTTCGAATCGGTGGTGATCTTGAAAGGAGTGGAAGAGAAATCGACCTTGTTTACCGTCTCGGTGAAGACTTGGGTGCCGAATCGGAGGGACTGGCTACGGCAGCGATCCATGAGCTCTCCGCCCATGATTCCTTCAGGGAATCCGGGGAAGTTCTCGACGTCGGTGGTGGTGGTGAGCTGGCCGCCGGGGGCGATGTCGTTGGCCATCCAGCCTTCGAAGAGGATGGGCTTGAGCTCGGCTCTTGCGGCGTAGATTGCGGCGGTGTGGGCGGCGGGGCCGCTCCCGATGATGCAGACGCGTGTCTTGATCTCCTCCATGGATGCGCCGGCGACCGAGGTGGAGAGTGAAGCGGAAGCGACGGCGGTGGAGGCAGTGGCGAAACCGATGCAGCAGCGAAATTTGGAGAGGAGAGTTCTGAGTTTGCCGGGAGTTTGACTCATTGGCTGCGCGCTCTCGGAAAGGAAAGTAAACGTGGAAAGTGGGAAGGCGCGGAGAGAAAGATGGGTTCTTCTTGTGGGCTTTTGGGCTTTCTGGTCCAAGGGGAAAGAGAATGAATTGCGATGAGAGGTTTCTTGTGTATTAACGTTACATAGGGTGCACAAAACAATTCCTAAATTGACCCGTCCAATTCTATCCAATTCACTCGTTTTTATTGTCAAAAATAAAGTTTAAAGTGTTTTTATTGTAAAAATAAAGTTTAAAGTTGAGTGAAGGTTTTTTTTTACAAACCACATCTATTAGGTTGGGTGTAGATTTTGGGTAACGCAGCAAGTAGAAACCCGACCCAACTCAATTATAAACAAATCGTTGGATTCTAATTTTTTTTAGTGAGTTTGGATTTTGTATTTTCAAAAGTCTAGTATATGGGTTGTTAGTAAACGGTTTATGATTTACGATTGAACCTCTCCCAGCAACTCGAGTTGTCGAGATGAATTGGTTCTAACATAGTATCAGAGCCTTATGTGACTGAAAGTTCTCCTATTCAAATCCCGATAACCCAAACATGTTTCTGTTAAGTAGATGGTGTCCCAATCTGTGCATGTGCAAACTCAAGCCTATCTGAATGGCTTGAGTGATGTATAACGCTATTATTACATGCCATTGTTAGATTAATTGCGGAAGACTTAATTTGAGTTTTGGGCTTCATCATTATGAACCACTGACTTGGCTCTTCAGAATTTCTCTTATCCCACAAAGGTAAATAAATTTTGTTGTGCAGTTCAATATTATCAATTTTGGAGTCTAGACATGGTTAATGGAGAATATATCCCCATTTTCTCATGGTTTTATGCGTGGTACTTTCAAAAGGAGAACACAAAAAAGAGATCGTTTGAGTAGTTTGTTGGTTGTCAATCCAATGAAGAATCAATTGATTTGTTATGCTTGTACTGAAATCTATAATAGGAAGATCAGGTTGTTTGCTCACCATGGCCTGATTGATCTAGCTCACGGTTTGTTCTTTCAAATGCAGAAATGAAAGTTTTATGTCATTTTGGTTTAGATTAGTGGGTTATGAGTCACGGTCTTTCGCGATTAGTCGTGGTTCAGACCGCTTTAGACCACACACTTAAGGGTGAGACATCAAACCATACCAGACTATGATTATGGTCTCACGATCCTTACCAAAACATGCCATCTGATATAAATTACGATTTCTAATACGATTTGATCCGGATTTCCGGCTCCATCTACATTCTCTTTTACTACTGCTGCTTCTCACGAATTAGACCTCAGCGGTTCAACCATCCATTCTAAGTGCGCGCCGTGGAAAATCACTCACCACGCACAAGTTTGAGCAAGTCATGTTGTAGGAGCCAAATCAAAATGCCACCGTAAGTAGTAGTGTGCATTTTCAGAAAGATTGAAGAAACCATCCATTTCTAGAATCTTTGTAAGGCTATTGATCCTTCCGAAAAACCAACCTTTCTGGCGCCCTTACATTACAGGCCCTTCAAATATTCTAACCGGCAAATTGACAACGGAATCAAACCCGCAAGCTGCAAGCTGTTCTTCTTGTAGTGATCAGCAAGTGCATAAGTGGATTCAACAGAGAATAAATGCCAAGTTCCTGCTACACTTGCAGTAAAAGGAAATAGAAATGCTGCCAAGTCCGAGGTGCCAATCGTATAAATAAGGCACAGCAACAGTGTGATAAGAGCAAACTAAATCAAATGGTACAGCAGGTGGCAAGACTTTCCAATAAGTGACACAGCTTGGTATGAAATTCAGCAACTGAAAGTCTGAAAGCATTTTACTTCTAACAAACCCTACCCGCAGGCAAAAAAGTTTGCCCAACACAAAGTTCCCCACTCTATCGTCACAAACTTGCACTAGCAGTTGATCTTTTTTTTCTTCAAAAGCGACGGGGCTCCCTTGATCCTTCCTGATTCAACAAAATAATGATCCATCCACATCAGCAGGCACAAGTGGTCCTTTGTTTCTTCTACTTGTAGAATTCGAAGTCGGTGTCTGGCTTCTTCACATTCGAACGGTAACCCTTCTCAAAGTCCTTGGGAAGTATCACGTATCTGTTCTTACGTACTGCGTGCATCCCTGCTTCTTGGCAGATGGCTGCAATCTGTGGCCCATAGTCAAAGAAAGCAAGTGGTCAGAATCAGCAAATATCCAGAAAATGCTTAAACTCTGATAAAAAACCAAGACTCGGAGCAGCTGAAATATGGAGACACAGGTGAGACGAACATCGACCCAAACAGAAGAGCAGACAACCCAAACACATAGTTAGGGTACAAATACTGAAGAAAAGACTAATGATCTAATCTGAACTTCACCTATCTGCAACTATAATCACCCTAACAAGCAAATGAAATAATGAATTACTAAATTAAAAAAATCAATGCAATGACATAATCTGGATCCACTGCATTTTCTGGATCCTTTTTGAAGAGACAGCCAACAAATCCAGAATAACTGGAATCTTGAATAGGAGTAGCAAAAACATGCAACATGAACACAAACCGGTGCAACAACCTCAAAAGAAAAACAAATTGAAAGCACTGGGAATAAGAATATTTATATGAAAGTAGCAAGCTAACCAACCTCAGCAGCGCTAATTTTATCTGGCCTTGACACATAATCCTCCAAATCCACCTCGTCACCAAGATTCATTTTAGAGGTGCAGACCTGTACAATAATCATCCAAAATGCATCAATACACAATTCAGGTAAAAATAATGACGATATGGGGGTTAAGTTAGGTACAAGAAAAACAAAAGTTGTCATCAGAGCGGCAGAGGCTATACCTGGAAGACCAGCCTCTTCTGTCTCCTATCAGGCAAAGGAAACTCAATTTTCCTGTCTAGCCTTCCAGGACGAAGGAGTGCAGGGTCCAGAGTATCAGCACGATTAGTTGCCATTATGACTTTGACATTAACAGTCTGGTCAAACCCATCCATCTGCAGCCAATTATTGAAGCAGCAGTCAGAAATAATATCCAGATGCCAATAACAATATTCAAGAGTACCAAGACAATACTATCTCCATTAAGACCAGGTTCTTAGCAGATACCTGATTCAAGAGCTCCATCAGAATACGCTGAACTTCCCTATCAGCTCCTGTCTGTGCATCAAACCTAGCCGTGGCAATAGCATCCACTTCATCGATGAAAATAATTGCAGGTGCGTTCTCTTTGGCAAGACGAAAGACATCCCGAACCATGCGTGGCCCCTGGGGTTACAAAAACAAGAGATTGATAATCAAGACCACATCAAACTTATTGTCATGAGGTACTAATAACATTCCACAAGTTTCCTTTCAGGACATACCTCTCCCAGATACTTCTGCACAAACTCAGACCCAACAACTCTAATGAAAGCTGCTGTAGTATGATTTGCAACAGCCTTAGCGAGCATAGTTTTCCCAGTACCAGGGGGACCATAGAGCAGCACACCTCGAGGTGGGTCTATACCGATTTGCTTGTACAACTCGTGATGAGTCAGCGGCAACTCCACAGCCTCACGAATTTCCTGCTTTTGAATGTCACATCCTCCAATATCCTAGCAATATCATAAGGAAAAGTTCAGACTTCCAAACAAGGCACCAAATGCAATGAAACTGACGAGGGATTGTGCCATTGCTTCGATTGGAGCACATGCTTTGCGTCAATGAAAGATGCAAAATATCAAAAGAGCAGGAATTCTAGATGCCTAGTTAGAAAAGTCCATCTCGACACTATATAATTAGATGATAGGGAGAAACTTTAGGGTGGCTTGATGAACTTTCTTGAGTGACCCATACCCTTTCTAAATCCAAAAGGAAGTTTCCACACAACACAGCACAAACTCCCTTCCAAGTTTGGCTGGAAGTCCAGAACTTTGAACCACAATTCTTAGGGCAAAGGAGCAATCTTTATAACTATTTGAACCACTTACTCTAAAATATGCATTCTTTCATAAAACCCTAGTTTCTGCTATCAAAGTTCCATACTTTACCCTGCTCAGGGCACTATTTGAAAGCGAAACCCTAATATTCAACATCCCCATAAACGGAAGACTCGGGGGGAAAAAAAAGTTAAGCTACAGAATTGAACTTACATTATATGTAACATCGGGCTTCTCCGACTGACTGAGCAGGGAGATGCTCGAATCGGCCTCAGGAGGCAACACATCGACAAGGGCATTCGAATGGCGGTGCAAAGCGACGGAAGCCGACGGCTTCAACAGCTCCCGATTAATCGTGCTCAAAATCCTCACATAGTAGTTCGAGCCGGTGGTCGACCCAACGATACCGTTGTTGGTGTCGACCATCTCCATGAACTGCCCGATAACCAACGGCACCGACTGGATCCGCTTGACCTCTTCCTGCGCCCGGAGGAGCTCGCGCTTGAGATTCTTCTGCTCATCTTTGACATACTCCTCCTGGATTTCGATGAACTCAAGTTGACGCTGCAGAGATTTCAGCTTGGCGTAGGGGTCCTCTTCCTCGATGGATTGGAGGATGGACGGCGGCGGCGACGACTCCGACAACCGCTTCAGGTCATATACCATAGTGGCTGCAGAAGCCATTATGACGGCAAAATTAAATTCGCTTGAAAGTGGAGATCGGCGATTTGTGGCGATCTCGGAGTCCGCTCTTCAATTTTTCCTGCGGCGTGGAGAGAAATCGAAAAGGGGGAAATATATCGAGATGTGGTGGTGGTCTGGATTAACGAGCACGAAACGAAAATAAATAGACGATGTAGGTGGGATTCGTCCTTTCTTATAGAGAAATATACGAACGGGTCGGGTGGTATTCCTTTTCAGTTTTGGATTGGTAGATATTATCTATGGGCCTGACATGAGAGCCCATAATCTTTTGGTAGTTGGATGGAAAGACTTAATTAGAACGCATACAAATCAGAAATGAACTGGGCCGGGCTTTCAATATTTTTCTTTTATGGTTGAAAACCCATTCAATTGAGTTCATTGCCTAATGATTAATTTTGTCGTTTTTGCACGGTCACTAACGCTTTGTTTGCCAACAAGGAGGTGTAAATTGCAGGGGTGCAAGTTGAGGGTAAATTGTTGGGGGTGTAAATTGTTGGGGTTGTAAGTGGAGGGGTAAATTGTTGTTTGGATGAAAAAGTAGGGGGTGCAAATAGAGTGAAAAGTAAGTAATTATATTATTTTAAAGTAGATTTTAAAATTTTAAAATAGATTTTAAGATTATAAAATAGATTTTAAGATTTTAAAATATTATCATAAAATAATAAAAAAAATATTATTATATAATAATAAATATACTTTACTAAAAATAGTTATTATATAATAATGCTTAAATAATAATTAATTATAACAATTGTAATAATCATTGATCGAGCGATCTCAAAACTCGAAGCTCAACTTGTAATTGGTCATCCTATATAGGGTTTTTGTGTCTAGTTTAATCTTAAATTGTCAAACTTAGTCAAACACGTTCGAATTTGTAAGTTTTACTATTTAGTCAAATAAACTGAGTTAACCAAACAATTTCTCTCCATCTTTTCCACAAACACTTTATATCTCTAATTTTCAATGCAAATTCGATTCAACTAAGAGATCTAGATTTGACTTGACGAACATTGATAAACTTGTTTCCAGAGTCAAATGGTCAACCCCGAATAATGTTTACATTAATGATATTTATAAAAAGAAGAAATTGATAATATTAATTATTATATAATTATATATAACACAATTAGAAAAATAAAATTCAATAATTCCCCCTCCCACTCTCTTCCTTCCTTCCCTTGCACCCCAATTTGGGTGGTAAGCCGTAATAGTAAATTTGCACTCCCGTTTTGCACCCTCCTACTGTTCCAAATTAACCAAACAGGTGCAAATGTGTTGGAAACTGTGTTTACCCCTCATATTTGCACCCTCCTCCCATTTACCCCTCTTCCCAAACAGAGTGTAATGTTAAAGAAAAGAATTAGGAATCGACGAATCGTTATCATGCTAGAAATTGTGTTCCACGTTATCAAAGCCCTGGGATATTCCGAATACTGTACTGAATTTGTCGATATTTGATATTATCGAATATTAGTATTATTTTTTTTTGAAATTTGGATTGTGATTGAATTTCAAGTGTTATTTGATTTAGGGATTATAAGATTGGAATCGTATATATTAAAATATCAGTAAATACCAAAATATAACCTAGTCGCTCCTACCAAACCCTCAACCGCAAAGATGGTCACTTAATTATACATAGATCATTCACTTACTATTTGACAACTCATACCAAGGTGATTCTGTTACTTGTTAGTATGTTTATTAGTTGCTTAGTTGTCCACTGTTTTAGTTTGCCACTTTAGTTTGTTAATGTGCTTATTAGACACCACATTTTTTTAAGTGTGTCATAATTATACTTGAGGTTTTTCTCATTCGTTTGGCACCACACCACTTTTTGCTTTTATATATTTCGAGAATCATTTATGGAGGTAGTATTTGCGTTTGTATATTTGAAATATACCGATACCAAACAAAATTTTATGGATTGGGATTAGGATACCAAATTTATTTTGGGATTGAGATTGAGTTTAGTACAATATTTGGTATTCGGGATTTCAATATTTGTTAATGGGATACAAATACTGTACTGATTTCCACCCCTATCTCTAGTGATGGCAATTTCTGACCTCACCCGCGTTACTCGACTTGCCCCGACCTATTTGGGACATGTACTACCCGACCCATAGTAGTATGAGACATGACATAGGTATTGCTTACGACCTAGCTCGTTATGCTCTCAATTTGTTCTATCATATGATATGTTTCAATATTTACATGTATTTCTCCTCTTTTTGACATTTCCAAAATTACATTTTAATCCCAAAGAAATTGTAAGACTCTATATTTCAACTATGCAGACTAAATTATTCTTACTATTATATTTTTCATTCATTTATGAAGTGTTTTCTCTATGTATTCTCGTGAAAAGTTAAATACGATATTTTTTTTTGCAAATAACATATTAGGATGAGTCGACCCGCCCGCCTTGTACCCACGCAGCTATTGTAAAGTTCTCATATGTATAGCATGTGCCCCTTGAATGAGAAGAACATAGATTGATGTGTGACTCGCACGAAACTACACCACAATATAATACCGACTAGAGTCCAAGTTTTTAAACTCTAGTCGGGTGCAGTATAGAGCAAGTATTTAGATATCAACCCAGGCCCGACATATACCCCTAATTCAGTTGTTTTAATCATTATCTGACAACAAAGTTCTGGTTTAAAAGTTTGCTAATTATAATAAAATTGGGCAAAGGTAAATGGTTTTGAAAACTCTTTTGTGGAAGGATCACTCGGGTCTCGCTCCACCCTAACTACTACCATGATATGTGAATTGGAACGATTTCTTTGAGCAAGGTAACCGCGAACCACAGAGGGATGCATATATGGTCGGAGTCCACAATTCAATTGATAAACCGAGGTAAACATTATAGGCTTTGTCACTCGACCCTCTCGGTTTAGGCAATCGGTAGTTCACTTACTCCCTCACTCAACTCAAAGGTAGGACGGCTTTATCGCGATTAACCGATTTGCTTAATTCAACATTGAGGGTTGCCCTAAATTAACCTAGTTAGGTGGCTTAAAAAGATGAAGGAAAACCAACTCGATTAAGTCTCCCTTGGAAGGGAAATTTTCCTCTCTAAGCTAGGTTAAGGTGGCTAATTAGATTGCTAGCACCAACATGCACAAACCTAAGGGTGCTAAGCACAATTATGCACAATCCTTAGGTTGCTAAGCACCAAAATGCACAAAACTAAGGATGCTAAGCACAAAATTATGCCCAACCCTTAGGTTGCTAAACACAAGCATGCACAATCAACATGAATAATACCTCAATCATTGAATTAACCAATACCCAATGACAATCATTCAATTCACATAAAAAACTACATGGTAGAGTTAGGGTTTCACAACATTCAAGTGAAAGGAGATCTACTCCATGCTAGAAATGGGAAAAACACAAGGAGAAGAGGTGAAAACCATCTTGGAGGATGTTCCCAATCTTCTTGGCCCTTGTGTTGAACTTTCCTTGGAGGAAATCTTCCCAAAATCCACCTTGAAGCAAAACCCTAGCCTTCTTCTCCTTTGGTTCGTGTTTCTCTCTAGAAATCTGAAGAAGGCTTTTCACACAAAATGGGCTCTCCCCTCTCTCCTCCTTTCAGCTCATCTTTTAAACTAGAGACGAGCTCAGTTCACGGCCTGAGTTCACTGTCGTGTACCATGAAACGCGTCCGTGAACTGCAGGCGTGAGCCAAAATGCACCTCTTCGTTCACTTCTGTTCACGGTCAACAGCCTCCGTTCACGGTCTTAGTGACCGTGAACTCACCTTGCGTCAGTAACCTCTGTTTTGGCTCTGGACGCCTCGAGGTTCATGGTCAAGGGCTCTTCTTCACGGTCGTGCAAGACCGTAACCTTCCTGGGATAGCCGTGAACTGGCCCTTTTTCACCTCTTCTCCCGGTTTTCTATCATTTTCGTCCAACTTCGACTCCAAGGCTGGTTTCACCTGTTAAACCCTAAAACACGAGAAACCTAGCATAAAACCAACCTTTTAGGAGTGAATTTGCCACAAACACCTATGTAAAACGGGGGCAGAACATTTACAATAAGGCCCGAATCACTCCCCCACACTTAGACGTTTTCTTGTCCCCAAGCAAAGTATTTCACACAAGGTAATATTTCAACATACACAAATACTTTGGGCAAATCAAAGGGCACAAAGTCGGAATTCTCAATGGCTATTGGCAATCAATACATGGACCGTTGCAAGAAATACCAACATCCACCACAAACGACATTCGAAGCCACCAAAAACAGGCAAATGAAAAGTTCTCACCTTGTTCATGGATCAATGCAAGTCGCAACAAGACCACTTATCAACCACAACCAATCATGCATGAAATTCAAGTCCGAGGAACAAATGGAAAGGCAACAAAGGTCCTCATCGGGGTATGATATGACATGCAACGTAAGAATGAATCACTCACTCTCAAGACTAGTGGGGTTGGGACCTTTCTGGTGCAAAAGATGTGCACAATCATAACCTATCGGCCCTATCGTCTCAATACCACGACAGTAACCTCTAGATGCTAGAGTTCACGGGATGGTTGTCACCACTAGCTCGTTCGGAGGTCTTAGACACGGGTTCAGATGACTGGCAATTGTCTTGGACATGGGAAAAATGCTTTTTGGGTGGTGGCAATCATGATGTGAGGTTCTACATCTTCAACCTAAACCCGAAGGTTCTATTGTTTCAAATAAAACCCCTCTCTTCAACCCAATGCCACTAGCATCGACCAAAACCCTTATCTCTCCTTTCCAAACTATCACCCATCGTGAACTACATTGAAGCACTATTCCTCGGTCTACTCTTGCTAGCACATTAAGGTTTGGTAATGAAGGAGTTCTAAAACAATGTGGGGGTTTCAATGGCTTGGGTGCCAAGAAACCCCTCATAGAGCATATACTTTGGTTTTTCGTGGCACTCTCTACTTTATTTACCCCATTTTCTTACCTCTTTTCCGTTTCT